TGCGATTGCAGACAAGGCAAAGATTGAATGCTTTGTCCACGAGGAGAGACGGGTTGAGAGTTTGTAGGGTTAGGTTTTTCGGATTATGGGCGGGGTAAGGTTTGGGGCCCAGTTTGGGGCTTCATGATACTCGGGCCACTCGGGCTATTGGGGTTAACGATTTTGGTTGGGTTTTGGGCTTCAGGCTTTAGGGTTAGAGGACGACCACGCACGCAACCAAGACTGGAACAAATGAACGTAGTAGCCACAGAACAAGACAAGAAGAGCACAAACAGCTACCCGACGCCGAAAACACACTAACATCACCGACAGGTTCGCCGGGCACCTCGTAATCTACATGGCCAACGCCGAATCATTAGAGGGTCCAAGGATATGCTCAACCATCTGCCTCGGGTTCGTGATTGTTTGAGGACTTTGTGAGCTCAACGCCAGGACATCAAACTCAAGCCGATCTCGAAGGGGTCCTGCACTCGACTATCTGCATCAACCCCAATAAAACAAAGCAAACAAAGATAGACCCTAGCCCTAAACTCAACAACTACCCTCAACCCCCGCCCCAAGAAAGCAAAGTGCCTGGTAGCCGAAAGCCACGAACACCAGTGCAACGACGACCTCAGGAGTCAACTGCGCGCAACAATGACAACACCATTGTCTTTTACAACTAGGGGCTTCAGAGTTTAGGGTTTAGGGTTTAGGGTTTAGGGCTTTGGGCGTTTCAGGTTTTTGTGTGTGTTCGGACTTTTTTTGGTGATCTTGGGGCCCAGGCATAAAGTTTGGGCTTTAGGGATCGGGGGTTAGGGTTTGGGATTCGGGATTTTAGGGTTTGGGATTCGGGGTTACGGTCTAGGATTTCGGGTTTAGTGTCTTGAGGCTGTCACCAACAACACTAGCAGCCGAGGTAGCAGTGCACAACTCCCGGAGCCACAATAAAGACAAACATCAGCAGAGGAACCACAAAGCCAGAACGCAAAGCCGTTGCGTTGAAAAGGACTTTGTCGCTTTGTCCCCTAAACCCTAACCCCCTGAACCCTAAACTGGCAGGGCTCGGGGGTTCGAGACTTAGTGCAAAACAAATGCGGCGTGCTATGATCCTGAAGCTTGGCATGACATGAGAATGAAGCGAAGCAGCCAGGAAAGGCGTGTGAGAGCGTGGAAGTCTGATAACTGACATAAAGCCTACCCTAAACCAAACGCTATGATTCCTCAGCTCAACCCTTAGCCTGAACCCTCGATAAAATCTGGTACTCTAATACCCAGACTTTCCAAAAAAGGAATATACCGGAAATTACACTAGGACCCTTTGTATGATTTCCGGTATTCTCCTTGATTAAAGGGTGTTGGAAGGTCTGGATACCCAAAGCCCGAAGACTTAAGCCCACACCCGTAACCCTCATGAAACCCAATCCTTACACCAGACCCTGGCAAAACCTCCGAGAAAGCTTTGCGAGCCCCGTATACTCCAACCCTTATGAAACCTGATGAAACGGCGTTGTTATTTCCATTTATTCCCATATAGGCCCGTGAAGAATGCAGTGGTTTATAAAACAGTGTTTTATAAAACAGAAGTGTTTTATGTAACAGTACAAGACCGAAAAGACGGAACCCTCTTCACCAAGGAGGACACCACACCCCTCCGACGACCCAAGGTCGGAGGAGCCATGGCGCTTAGGGCTGTAGAGTCTTAAGGCTGTAAAGTCTGAACAGCTGTAAAGCTTTGAGGGCTTAGGGCCGAGGGCTTTCAGAGTTTACGCAGAGCTTCTAGGGTTTAGGGGGCTTGCGGGCTTTGAAAGGGGCTTCCAGGGCTATGGGCTCGGAGCGGGAGTCTAAAGTGTAGGGTTCAGGGTTTGGGGTTCTTGAATTTAGGGCTTATAAGGGTTTAGGGTTTTAGGGTTTTGGGATTAAGATCTAGGGTTTAGGTGGTATATGTTCCGAAATGTCCCTGGCCTACAGGGTAGGGGTAGGGCTAGAATTAAGTTTGATATCAAGGTCTGGTGAAACAGAGCTTCTAGAACGGCCTTGAACTGATAAATTCCTGAGGCATGGAAGCCCAAGAGAGCAGTAGCTGAGTCAGATATAGACCCCTTTAAAACGGGACCCTGTTCCAATTATTAAGGCCTGTATGGGAGTTTCCGAAAATTGGGGACTCTTATATAGTACCCTGAATAGTAGAACCCCTATTACAAGGACCCCTTAAAATGGTACCCCCCCCCCCATTTTCGGAAACTCCCATATGGGTGGTTGTCAAAATTGTGGTCCCTTTTTTGGGTACCCTAAATATTGGGTACCCCTACTTTTCGCAAACCCACAGCTCTAGAGGCAGAGGCTGCATCCCGGGACCCGGAAACCTGAGTCCCAAAGCCTAAACGCGCAACCCAAAACCCTGAACCCCAAACCCCAAGGTTTAGGGCCTGGGTCTAGGGTTTAGGGTTTAGGGTCTGGGGTTTAGCGTCTCTGGATTAGGGTTTAGGGTCTAGGGTTTAGGGTTTTTTGGTCTTTTTTTTTTTTGAGGACCTTTTTCCAGTGCATGGAGAGCCTCAATGAGGCAGGCCCGGTTCAGACCACCTGTGACTATGCCTCGCTCACTCCTCACCCCTGTCATTGTGGTTCCCAACATCGTTGCCTTCGACCCCTGTCACCGTCGCCTCATTCAACACGATGCCATCCCTTCCGCCTCCTCCGTATTGACAACCCTTGCCCTGTACTCACAAGCTCATCATCCGCATCGAGCACTCCTCCATATTCGCCTTCACGGATCGCTTGCTGGGCCTGCAGGAGAGATAACGTCGAGCTCCCGTAATGCTGGATCACCACATCGTCCCCCAGGCGCCCTTCCTTCCAAGCAGTGTAGACCCCCTGGAACGACTCAAAGTCAAGCGGCACTGTATCATTGACGACTCCATCCACCACCAGGTCTCCATCAGGCGGCGCCACACCAGCTGGGGAAGAAGCTCGCACCGTCGGCACATCCTCCTCAGAGTCAGCCTCGTTGACCACTATGCGGAACTGCATGGCCGAGCCCATCATCACAGGCACCCGCAGACGATGCTCAGTCCCCGCGTGTCCACCGGACGGCCCCACCGAGACTTCCATCAGCAGCCTCTTCCGGGAACTGGCAGCTCTGGTGCGGTCCATCTCATCAAACATAGCCCAATCGTCCCAATCCCGACACTGACAAGACCGGTCCTGTTCAATCGCCGCAGTGGCCTCCATCTCGACAGCCGCCTCATGAGCAGCTTCCTCAGCCTCGTGGAGCTCCTGAGCGTGCATCTCCGCCTCCTTGTCCCGCTGCTCCAACTGCTCCTCTGCCAGCATGGCCTCAACTTCTCCGCTGTCCACCCCCCAAGAAATCATGCCCGCTGGGACGGACAGATTTCGCGGCTCCGAACTCGCCACAGTCGGACATGAGCTCCCAGTCGCCCCGGACGCCGGAAGTAGCATGCCAGTCATTCGGATCCACCAATGCCACGTCCAGGCCTGCACCTGCCGTGGATCGGCAAGGAAGCCCTGGTGTTCAGGGTTTAGGGTTTAGGGAGTTTAGTGCTGAAGGTTTTGTCCACCAGCGGTTGGTGTCGAGTGCTCTGTGGCCCAAGCCTTGGATACTGAATGGACTACACGAAGCGATGGGCAACAGGGCACAAAGATGCAACGAGAGAGATCAGTTGTCTTGGAGTCTTGGATGGTAGGGTCTGTCCATGGACTGATGCGTGTGGAGATTCCTAGCCCTCATGAACCCTCACCACCCAACTGCAGCGTTTTGCCCTGAAACCAACATTCCCACCAACCTGCTCTGCACACGTGTCTTACCTTTGGTTAGTAGGGAATTGAAGAATGATAGTAATAGTAGCTACAATTGTACCCCATTCCTCCATTCCCTACTAACCAAAGCTAAGGTGTAGAGTCTTGCAGACACAAAAACGAAAGCCACCTGGTCACGAAAGCAAACATCGATTTACTCAACCTCCTGGGACGCGCGACTTTCCGATCAGACTGTCGATATGGGGGCCTCAATAATTAGAAAGGGCTTTGGGGGGGATACTATACTATACTTATAAGAAGGAGGCCCCAAAATAGTATAGGTAATTGTGAAGCCCCAGTATTAGATATTCATGGCGATTGAGTTGTATAGGAATCATGTCTGCAGAATCCTAGACTCGGGGGATTCTCCACCGCGAAAGCCTTCCTGCTGTAAGCCACTACTTGGAGGGGCAGGGGACTTAGTAAGTCGGTTATAAGTAGGGTTATAATTGGCGTAACTTCATACAGGGTACTTATAACTCTACTTATAACCTGCTTACTAAGTCCCCTGCCCCTCCAAGTAAGGTTTGGAGCTTCGGGCGCTTAGGGTTTAGAGCTCAGGGGATTCAGGGGACTAGGGGGTTAGGGGTTCTGGGGCTTAGGGCGTCGAGGGTGTTGAGGTAAACCTCTCCTTGATTTGCTGAAGCCGCTGATGATGAAGGGATCCTTTTCTTTCGAGTCTTGAACTAAGATCCTCAATATAAGAACCCTTGTACAAGGTACCATTAAACAAGTAGGATCCTTAGCGTTAGAATCCCCCAAGCGACAAGGTTCCCCCGAAAGAATGCCCCTACACCCTAAAGCCCAAAGCCCTGAACCCTGGCCCGGTAAGCCACGAGCTCCTTTTTCCACAACGGCTCTCGGCGCTGCGGTTTAAGGTTTAAGGTTTAAAGTTTAGGGATCGAACCGAAAATCCGGACATCATGCAAGCCTGGAAACTCCAAAACCCTTAAAACCCCAAGCACCCCGGAAAAAGCCTAAGCTGGACATTAGGCTGTAGGGATGCAGGGTTTAGGGTGTAGCTTTTAAGGCTTGCGACCCGGGAAAAATCCCATGAGGGTCTAGGGTGCATGGATTCCGGCATGATTGTTGCGTCCGGCCACTGGGGTTGTGCGATGTTTTGGCTTAGGGTTTCGGGTTCAGGGTGCAGGGTCCTGAATGCTTGTCATCCTACCTACACTGCTCGACTCAACCGATTCCACACCTCACTCGGGATCTTCATCCGAGCCTTCGTCCCTCTCGTACTCGTAGCCTTGGCGAAGCAACTGTTAGAACTACACGTGCAGTCATAGTTTCGGCGGCTGCTCTTCTTCGTACGTGTTATTGTTGATGGGAGTGTATTCTTTCATTCTCACGATTAGGCGTTGATTCTGAGAGCAGTAGGAGTAGGAGCAGGAGTAGGAGTAGTAGGAGTGGTAGTAGGAGGAAGAGGAGGAAGAGTAGTACGTCGTAGTAGTAGTAGTAGTAGTAGTAGTAGTAGTAGTAGTAGTAGTAGTAGAAATAGTAGGAGTAGACTAGCATAGCCGTAGGAGTCGTCGTCCTCGTTGCCGTCCTCATCGTCGTCATCGCCGGCATCGTCGGAATCGTCGGGTCTCAACTTCCACCACTCTCTCCCTCTACCAACATACACAGAATTCCGGACAGACAACCAAAGGAAACCCTAAATCGTAAACCCAAACCCTTCAAAATAAGAACCTGAACCCCCAGACCCGAAACTTAACCCCAACCCGAAACCCTAAACCCTTAGCCCTAAACCAGCCAAACAAAGCAGAAAAAAACGAAGCCCCCTTTTTGCCCCCAAGTTGAGGAGCTCTTGGCCCCGAAGACGTAGTTGTAGAGCAAGACCAGCAGGCCCCCCACCAGGACGACCAAGCCCTCGAAAGCGCATGGTAGCTTGGGGTAGGCTAGAGGGTTTAGGCTTTAGGCTTTAGGGTTTAGGGTTTGGGGTTGAGGGTGTATATAGGGCTCAACTTGATGTTAGGGTTGAAGGCTTAGGGTTCAAAATTCAGGGTTTAGGGTTTAACGATGATAGCTCGGGGTTCAGGGCTTGGGGCTTAAAGTTTGGCGAAAAGGGGAACAAATGCTTTGGGATTGAGGGTTTTAAGGGGGCTTCGGAGTGGCAGAGAAGGCATAACTTGAAACAAGCTCAAAGCTCGGATCAGCAGTCCGGTGTTCATGGCACATATGGGAGTTTCCGAAAATTAGGGGTACCTTATTTTGGGGTCTTTATAGTAAGGGTCGTACTATTCAGGGTGCTACATTAGGGTCCCCCTCTTTGCGGAAACTCCCATATTATGTCATTATGCAAGGGCCTTAATTATTAGAACACGGTTTTGGGGCCCATGATACGAAACTTTTAATCAAGGACCCCAGAATAGTGTTGGTAGTTATTTACGCAATTTAGGCCCCTGTATTTCTGCAGGAGTGAGCTTACTTGTCAGATGCAGTTGTAGAGGAGCCACAGAGCAACTTGAAGAAGCTTGCCACTCTCTGCTCCTCTGCTGCCCTTTCCGAAAGGACTTCTAAACTCACCCTACTAACAGATCCGAGAAGACCAACTAAAGCTGCGACGCAGGACAGAATGCTAGTACTCGGTCCAGGCACCAGCCCTTCAAGCCGTCAGTCGCACAGCCAAAGGATGGGAGCAACATGACACAAAAGATCAGAAAGCTGTGTTCATGCTGATAAACAAGGAGATCCCTGCTCGGGAATTGAACAAGAGTCCCAAGAGTACAAGTTATGAAATCTTGATAACCGACGTTCTACTAGTCAGACGGATGCTGGAAAAAAAAACGCACCACTACCAGAGTTGCAGTCATCACAATATAGGGGCCTGAACACTTACAATAAGGTTTTGGATATATTAGACCGAAACCACATGGGGACTACAAAAAAAATCATACCCCTGTTCTCGTCAACCCAGAGACCCCAATATCCCTTTAATTAAGGAATATTCCTTAAATCATATTAAGGATCCTATTATAATATGAGGTATATTCCTTAGTTAAGGGGTATTGGAGTCTCTAGGAACCCTCATCGCCATCGTGAGAACTTACCTTTTGGTTAGTAGGGAATGGAAGAAAAATAATAGTAATTATACTTGTACCCCATTCCTCCATTCCCTACTAACCAAAGGTAAGAGAATCAAAGCTGCGACACAGTAAGCTACTCTGAACCCCTTTGTCAGCCATTTTTTTTGGGACTTCGGGTTCCCTAAACCCTAAACCCCAAGCCCTAGGGTCCAGAATGGAGGCCCCATATCCATATCCGAGTCTGAGACGCTAAACTCATGAAATCCTAGACCTGCACTCCGAAACCTTCTAGAACCCTGTAACCCTAGAACTCTAAGAACCCCAAGAAGGGCTTGGGGTTCAGGGCTTTTTTTGAGTGTGAGGGGTGGGGGTTTGGGGGTTAATTACCCCAAAACAAAGAGCCAACTCCCAACTCCTGGCTCCGAGGGCCCGGACGAAAACGATCAGGAACCACTCCCAGCCGGCAAGCTGGTGGCTCGCTACTTGCCCCAGGTTGGGCCAGGACGCAGAGGTCTGCCGCCAAGAGGGACGGGAATGAGCTTTGGGGCTTCAGGGTTTAGGGCTCAGGGCTTTAAACTCCCTGTGCCCTTTGCTTGCACAGGGACTATTTAGCTATTGTGAAGCTTTTACTGAACAGATGGGATATGATATGTTCGGGGGGCGAACTGGCTGAGAGCCTAGTCTTAAAATTGACGTACTATAGGGCACTATAGGGGCTTTAACAAACAGAACAGGGTTGTGGGCCCATTATACTATAAATATAATTCGGACAGGGTCTTGGGACCCATTATATTTACACAGAATCAAGGAGCCTAGTCTTGAGGTACCATAAGGTATAAGGACAGGGTCTTGGGACCCATTATTGAATTAAGGAACCCCCCAAGTAATTATTGAGGCCCCTACAGTAAATGTTTGAGTTTCGGGTCGACCGGTCGAGGGGAGAAGGCGATAAGATTGAAGATTTTTGGGGTTTAGGGTTTAGGGTGGTTAGGGTTTAGGATCGCTTGAATGAACCCCCAATGGAGTAGAGACCCTAAGTATCCCTGACTGATATAAGCCATATTGGAGCTGCCTGTCGACTGAAAAGCCCAAGCTTCTGGGAAACAAGACCCCGGAAACCCCAGGGTTTAGGGTTTAGGGAACCCTACCTTAAGCCGACTTTTTTGCAGATTATTAGTATCAACCATAATACGGAATTTGTAGGGACCCAAGAAAAAAGTTGGTTTTGGTTGGTTAAGGTATACCCTACAACTTACACCCTAAACCCACATTAAACTTAACACCTCCATGGCCAAAGGCATAGGCACTTCTCCAAAACCTTACCGTGACCCTTATAACAACACGTATATTCTAAAAGACCCCTTATAAAGGCCCCTTGCAGCAACCCTTCTGTTGATGATATAAACCCTGCATTACCCTAATGACCCTAGACTACGGGAATTATGGTATATTCCTTGTTATGGGTAATGCAAGATTTATATCATCAACCGATACAGCCCCTCTGAGGCCTGACCCACTGGCGTCACATCTGGGAAAACCGGGCCTGATCGGATGAGCATGTGGGGGTGGTTGGGTCTAGGTCTGGGGCTTGAGGCGTTTACAGTAGAGTTGAGGGTTTAGGATATAGGGTTTAGGATTTAGTGTTTAGAGACCCTAAAGAGACCCTAAACCCTAAACCCTAAACCCTAAACCCTAAACCCTAAACCCTAAACCCTGAGTTTGGGATTTGCTGTTTAGGGTTTCGGGTTTTGGGGTTCAGGGCTCGGCACCGTCATGGGCTGCCTTTCCCAAGTCTCTGCCGACTGCTTCAAGCAGATTACTTTGACACAGTGAACCTTGTTTAAGTTTAAGGCTCCAGGATTTGGGGTTGTAGGATTTAAACCCCCTGGGGTCCAAGCTCACAGCTGAAACACGGAACAGTAGTCAATCCAAACTCGTAAACATCCCTAACCCTAAACCGTAGAAAATCCCTAACCCTCAACCCTCAACCCTAAACCCTAAACCCTCAACCCTCAACCCTAAACCCTCAACCCTCAACCCTCAACCCTAAACCCTCAACCCTCAACCCTCAACCCTCAACCCTAAACCCTCAACCCTGAACCCTAAACCCTCAACCCTGAACCCTAAGACCGGACGGGAAACCCCCGGAGATGCTCAAGCTCGTGGCTAAAGGGCCCACCACCCGGCCGATCTGGATGCCAGTGCCCGGTGGGCAACACCTACAGTAGAAGCCAGAAAGTTGGAATATCATTATCGTAACCCCCTTAAGGTAAATTATAGGGGATCCTACCATTAATCCATATTCCAACTTTCTGGAGTTCCCTTTAACGCGGGACAAAGCGGAGTGAACTTAGGCTCTGCTGCAGCATGCAGGCTACATGGTCACCAGATTTCAGCTACAGTGGTGCGAAGACAAGTGACCATTTCTACTCCGACCTCTGGGGCACCCGGCTCCGGTGATAAACTGGATAGGCCCATCCATGTTTTTGAGGGCCTGATCCTGTCTTCGGAAGGATCCAGGCAGGTGCGCTTGATTTCGGCACTAGGGGTGTGATTGCACGGATCATCCGCTGCGACGCGGGGTGTTGCTGCTTAGGGTTTGGTGGTGTAGACCCCTTCAGGCTTTGTAGGCTTTGGGCTGATGCACGTGTGAGTTTCCGAAATTAAGGGAACCTTATTTTGGGGTCCTTTAAAATAAGGATCATACTACTTGGGGTACTACATGAGGGTCCCCTATTTTCGGCAATCCCCATGTACGGCTCGGGGGCTGGGGACTCAGTGTTCGGCGCTCGGAGGGTTGCGTGTGTTTCCGAAAGATGTTGCAGGCGCAGCGACTTCCGCAGCGGGGGCTTCATCTCTGATAGGGGAGTTTCCGAAAATTAAGGGTACCTTGTTTGGTGGTCCTTGTACTAAGAAGGATCCTACTATTTGGGTTACTGTCTTGGGTTACTGTCCCCTATTTTCGGAAACTCCCATAATGCAGTTCTACGTACCTTTTCACGCCTAGTGACTGCATAACATGGAGGCAGCCTCGGCTCAAGTTGGTCTTGACTTCGCGGTCGAAGGTTTCAGGCGCATGGCTTCGAGGTTTCATCATGAAGACCCTTAGGGGGGTAGGCGGCCATAATGCCCATAATACGGACCTAATAGGGCCTACTTAAGGAAAATATAGTCCCCTACCCCCCTCCCCCCGACCCGCCTAAGGGTCCCTATGGTTTGATGGCAGCTTAGTTCAAGGCTTCAGGAGTGCAGGGTAGCTTACTTCTTTCCGCGGCTGAAGGATGCTGAAACGAACACTTGGCATCTCCCTTTACTTATTCTCTGCACCTAATCCCTAAACCTTTAAGGGAGATAAGTAAGTTCCTTATCCCCTGCATCCCAAGCTTCGGAAACCTCGCAGCCCCGGGAAGTACCATCCATGCACTGAGGAAACTCGAAGCTCTTCAACCCTCGAAGCACAGAGATTTGCACGCGCTCAGGCACCAAAGGAGTTTAGGACTGAGGGCCAACTGCAGAAATGGGAGGTTCAAAAAATTGGGGACCCTAATATAGTACCCTAAATATTAGGATCCTTACTATAAGGACCCCCAAAATAAGGTACCCCTAATTTTCGGAAACTCTAAACCCTGAACCATAGGAACCCTTATGGTACCCTTATAGCAACCCTTTAAAGGAACCCTAATTTTCGGAAACTCTAAACCCTGAACCATAGGAACCCTTATGGTACCCTTATAGCAACCCTTTAAAGGAACCCTAATTTTCGGAAACTCCCAAATCCCTAAAGCCCTCCAAACACTCGCGAGCGCTCCTGATCCTCGGGAGTCGCGAAATCAATGCTAGGCGCAATGGACTCGGCGCAAGCGGTTGAGGCTTAGGGTTTAGGGTTTAGGGGGAAGAACCTGAAACTGAATCAGTTATAGGGTTTAAAGTTTACAAGGGTTTAGGGTTTAGGGTTAAGCTGAGGCTTTCCCAGAGAGGGCTTAAATTATATAGGGCTTCATATTATGATTGAAGCTATATTCCTTAATTAAGGGATATTGGAGTCTCTGGGTTTCAATCTTCGGGGCTGGAATGCGTGTTGCGGGTTGCGGGTTACGACCTCGCGATTGCGGTTTGGGCTTTAAGGCTAGCTCCACACCCTTCTTCCATACCTCAAAAAAAAGGAAAGCCTACTCTCCGATACCCTGCCTTAGCGGCCTCTTCGCATGGCCTACCATAGGGGCCTTAGTAAGTAGAAATACTATAATTCTAACGAGGAACCCCCCAAAATGATGTAGGTACTTATTTAGGCCCCTACATTCCAACCTTGTTGGGGGTGCAAGGCCTAGCAGCTAGTCAAGGATCCAGTCCTCAAACCTGAACCCTGAATCCTAAAACCTAAACCTAAACCCCGGACCGTTAAACTCTAAACCCTATCATAGATGCCTTGGTAATCAGAATAGGGTTTTGGGGCCCATTATACCCTTTATTAAGGAACCCCCAGAATAGTATTAGCAATTATTTATGCTCCTATATTAAGCACCTCGTGTCTGAGGATGCGCATCACCTGATGGTGGTTTGGAGGATTGAGAGTTCTGCAACTCACATAAACCCTCTATATAGGTACATTGGGCCCAAAGTATATACTGATTGGGTACATGGACCCTTAAACCCTAAACCCCTATAGAACCCTTGTGGCATAGACCTTTAGGGTCTATGTGAGTATACGCTCGGGGTAGTACTAGCATCGGTATTAGCAGTGTTAGTACCAGAAGGTTAGTACCAGAAGGGAATAGTAAGACTTGTATAGTTATCAGTAGTAACTAAAACTAGTAGTGCTAGTATTTGCAGCAAAAAGTTTATCCATTTCATCCATTTCAACCATTTCGAAATGGTTGAAATGGTTAAAAAATCCTGGTCCTCGGACAAAGGCAAAAGGATTTGAAATGGTTGAAATGGTTGAAACGGTTGAAATAAATGAAATGGTTAAAAAGTTCATCCATTTCATCCATTTCAACCATTTCAAAACGGTTGAAATGGTTGAAATGGATAAAAACTTTAACCATTTCAACCGTTTCAACCATTTCAACCATTTTTAATGTTTTGGGCTTCTGCGGGAGTTCAGGGCCAAGAATTTCATCCATTTCATCCATTTCAACAATTTCGAAATGGTTGAAATGGTTGAAATGGTTAAAAAATCCTGGCCCTCGGACAAAGGCAAAAGGATTTGAAATGGTTGAAATGGTTGAAACGGTTGAAATCGATGAAATGGTTAAAAAGTTCATCCATTTCATCCATTTCAACCATTTCGAAATGGTTGAAATGGTTGAAATGGATAAAAACTTTAACCATTTCAACCGTTTCAACCATTTCAACCATTTCAACCATTTTTAATGTTTTGGGCTTCTGCGATAGTTCAGGGCCAAGAATTTCAACCATTTCATCCATTTCAACCATTTCGAAATGGTTGAAATGGTTGAAATGGTTAAAAAAATCATCCTGGCCCTCGGACAAAGGCAAAAGGATTTGAAATGGTTGAAATGGTTGAAACGGTTGAAATAGATGAAATGGTTAAAAAGTTCATCCATTTCAACCATTTCGAAATGGTTGAAATGGATAAAAACTTTAACCATTTCAACCGTTTCAACCATTTCAACCATTTTTAATGTTTTGGGCTTCTGCGGGAGTTCAGGGCCAAGAATTTCATCCATTTCAACCATTTCGAAATGGTTGAAATGGTTGAAATGGTTAAAAAAAATCCTGGCCCTCGGACAAAGGCAAAAGGATTTGAAATGGTTGAAATGGTTGAAACGGTTGAAATAGATGAAATGGTTAAAAAGTTCATCCATTTCATCCATTTCAACCATTTCGAAATGGTTGAAATGGTTGAAATGGTTAAAAAATCCTGGCCCTCGGACAAAGGCAAAAGGATTTGAAATGGTTGAAATTGGTTGAAAACGGTTGAAATAGATGAAATGGTTAAAAAGTTTCATCCATTTCATCCGTTTCGAAATGGATTGTTGAAATGGTTGAAATGGATAAAAACTTTAACCATTTCAACCGTTTCAACCATTTCAACCATTTCAACCATTTTTAATGTTTTGGGCTTCTGCGGGAGTTCAGGGCCAAGAATTTCACCATTTCATCCATTTCAACCATTTCGAAATGGTTGAAATGGTTGAAATGGTTAAAAAATCCTGGCCCTCGGACAAAGGCAAAAGGATTTGAAATGGTTGAAATGGTTGAAACGGTTGAAATAGATGAAATGGTTAAAAAGTTCATCCATTTCATCCATTTCAACCATTTCGAAATGGTTGAAATGGTTGAAATGGATAAAAACTTTAACCATTTCAACCGTTTCAACCATTTCAACCATTTCAACCATTTTTAATGTGTTGGGCTTCTGCGGGAGTTCAGGGCCAAGAATTTCATCCATTTCAACAATTTCGAAATGGTTGAAATGGTTGAAATGGTTAAAAAATCCTGGCCCTCGGACAAAGGCAAAAGGATTTGAAATGGTTGAAATGGTTGAAACGGTTGAAATAGATGAAATGGTTAAAAAGTTCATCCATTTCATCCATTTCAACCATTTCGAAATGGTTGAAATGGTTAAAAAATCCTGGCCCTCGGACAAAGGCAAAAGGATTTGAAATGGTTGAAATGGTTGAAACGGTTGAAATAGATGAAATGGTTAAAAAGTTCATCCATTTCATCCATTTCAACCATTTCAAAACGGTTGAAATGGTTGAAATGGATAAAAACTTTAACCATTTCAACCGTTCAACCATTTCAACCATTTCAACCATTTTTAATGTTTTGGGCTTCTGCGGGAGTTCAGGGCCAAGAATTTCATCCATTTCATCCATTTCAACCATTTCGAAATGGTTGAAATGGTTGAAATGGTTAAAAAATCCTGGCCCTCGGACAAAGGCAAAAGGATTTGAAATGGTTGAAATGGTTGAAACGGTTGAAATAGATGAAATGGTTAAAAAGTTCATCCATTTCATCCATTTCAACCATTTCGAAATGGTTGAAATGGTTGAAATGGATAAAAACTTTAACCATTTCAACCGTTTCAACCATTTCAACCATTTTTAATGTTTTGGGCTTCTGCGGGAGTTCAGGGCCAAGAATTTCATCCATTTCATCCATTTCAACCATTTCGAAATGGTTGAAATGGTTGAAATGGTTAAAAAATCCTGGCCCTCGGACAAAGGCAAAAGGATTTGAAATGGTTGAAATGGTTGAAACGGTTGAAATAGATGAAATGGTTAAAAAGTTCATCCATTTCATCCATTTCAACCATTTCGAAATGGTTGAAATGGTTGAAATGGATAAAAACTTTAACCATTTCAACCATTTCAACCGTTTCAACCATTTTTAATACTGTGGGCTTCCCCCAAAAACCCAGGAGCAAGAATTTTATCCGTTTCAACCATTTCAACCATTTTGAAACGGTTGAAATGGTTGAAATGGTTAAAATCTTTATCCATTTCAACCATTTCAACCATTTCAACCGTTTCAACCATTTTTAATACTGTGGGCTTCCCCCAAAAACCCAGGAGCAAGAATTTTATCCATTTCAACCATTTTGAAACGGTTGAAATGGTTGAAATGGTTAAAATCTTTATCCATTTCAACCATTTCAACCATTTCAACCATTTCAACCGTTTCAACCATTTTTAATACTGTGGGCTTCCCCCAAAAACCCAGGAGCAAGACTTTTATCCATTTCAACCGTTTTGAAATGGTTAAACAGTTTTTCTTTTTCCAAAAGAGAGATAGTAGGTTAATAAGAGAGGCAGAGCAGGAAAGTAAGTGTAATAATCGGAGACTAGGAGTAGGTATATAGGAGTGCAAGATTAGGAGATTAGTAGACTAACATAACAGGCTAGTAAGATGGCATTATTTTACTCCCACTCTCCTATCCGCCTTCTCCTGGCACTTCTCTTTTACTCCTTTTCTCCTAATCTTTACTCTTGCCTTCCTCCTCTCCTACTCCCAATGTGTGGCTCCTTTTCAATTAGTCGAACTCCCCGTTTTTTGTTCGCATATTCCTGTCCTCCGACTCCTAATGTCAAACTGACCCTGCACATACTCCTGCTCTCTCCGCCCCCTGTCCTCCTGTTTGAAACGTGCTACTTTCATTCTCTTAGTCTCATTCCAGCTCCCTCATGTCTACTTCCAGACTAGTTGTCCTCTTCCTTTATTCCTCCTCTCTCAATTGAGTTTCCTATTCCTTACCCTCCATGCACCTCCTCTGAGGGCGACTTCTACCGCTACTCCTGTTCTTACCCTTACTCTCTCCTACCCGTATGTGAATGATTCCTAGTCTTTCCCGATTCCCACCACTATGTATCATGCTTGATTCTTATTCCAGCTCTCTTATTTCCACGTCTAGACTACCTGCCCTAGTCTTCTACTTGTAATCTCTGAATTCGTTTCCCACTCCTTACCACCCCCCTCCCCCTCTACACCTCCGCTGAGCGCTACTTCAAAGATTCTACCGCTACTCCGGTTCTCATCGTGCCCCTCCACTTTTGGTATTCCTGGTCTTGTCCCCATCTCTACCACTGCTGTTATTCCTACTGTCCTACCTCGCTCGATGCGCACTCCTTAAGGGGGAGGAAGAGAAGAGTAGGAGTAGGAATGGAATAGTAGCAGTAGGAGAGTAGGAGTAGACGTAAGGTTAGTATTCCAACAGAAAGAGGAGACTAGGGGCAAAGAGAATACGAATCAGAGCGAAGGAATAGAAGAGTAGGAGTGGGAGAGTGCGAGTAAGAGAGTAGGAGTAGGAGAGTGTCTTGTTGGAAGAGCAGGAAGGGAGTAGCCAGAAAGTAAGAGAACAGGACAGCAGGAGAGTAGGACAGC